TATACGTTTTTATATTAAAATCTCTGAAAGTTTGGCACGTTGTACATCGAGCTCTAGCAAGGATTTCCGTATTTTTGCTATTTCTTCGTTTAACGTTACTTATTATTTTTATAGAAAAATTTTTATTTCCAAACTCTTGACTTTTGCTTAAACTTGTACCGGTGTGTACAATGTGATAAAAATTGTTCACTTGGTATAATCCAGAAAGAAGAATGGTATTTTGTCTAATAAAATGTAATTTGATTTCAAAACGACCATTATGCCCACGTTAATTTAACGGTTCGTGTGATTACATTTTAATTGCTCGAAGAGGCAATAGCGACTGTGTGGAAAACTCTTGGAGTTTCTCGATCCTACGAAAATGTTTTTCTTTCAATTTGTGAACGTCACGTGTTGGGCGCGATAGTGAAAATCGCAAATGGTGAAGTAGGCAGTAGTCTGAAACGTCTGCCTGCTGCCAATGCAATAACCGGAACAATGATTATCCTCATTGGAGTGACTCCAACTGCTTCTCGAACTTCCTTTTCTGTCCGTCGCGCGGCTAATTTTTTTTTTTTTTTTTTTTGCACAATAGAGACCTCCTGGCTACCTGATGTATCGATTTTCAATAGGTTTGTTACAACGAATCTCTAACGTCAATTTACGATAGCGTAAATAACGATAACGGATAGAGATAATGCAGTCTGGTGGCGATAAGGGCTGGTGCGAAATTTTTTAAAGAACTAGAAGAATCAAGGAGCCAAAGTTATCGTATCGTATCTTTGTACCTTTTATACACCATTTAAGGTGTATCTATATACCTGGATTTATTTAACCCTGATCTATCACAACTCTAGCAGAATACTGCTTTTCGTTACCGTATCGAAAAATAATCGCAAATATCAAACTTCTTCGATCTTTTTTGAAAATTCTAATTTTACAGCCCTAATTTAGAAACCAGATTCAGTAACTTTTTACACGTTTGAAACGTGCGAAAATCAGATCGAATTTGTAAAAGATCCCAATGTAACATTTGAAAAAAAAAAAAAGGGTATCAGGGTTAATTTATGTGTCGCAGAAAAATGTCCATTTCACGATGCCACGTTTGCCAATGAAAATTAATTAGCGATAGGTGAAAATCGACGAATATGAGAATTTTATTGCTTTGTAAATTAATCTGAATAATGATGTATTATTGCAATTTGTGCTATGGTAATCATTAACCGGTAGTTTTCGCGGTCGAAAGTGGCGAATGCAAGGAGCTACCTATACGAAAGTCCGTGTCTTATCGACCAGACGCTTTAATGGACATTTTATCAGGCTCTTCTCGACGCCTTTAACGTTATTACCTTCACCATTTGCTGGATGCATCTGTACATAAAGGACCGGCAGGACATCGAAATGCGCGTATTAGAGCCGACGTATAATGCGTTGGGCAAAATAAATTACGCATAGTCGCGCGAGTTAGTGCGACCCGGATTCCAGGGTAGCCAAGAATTTACAAGCTTGAGCCAAACGGCTCTATCACAGCCCACTCTCTCTTTCTCTCCTCGCCTCTCTTTCGGCCTTAACTTTCCTATGAACTTGTAATCGCCCTGTTACGTTGTTCCTATCTTTCATGTTGCAACACTATCTTGGACAAAATCCAACAATAGTGTTGCAAGTTTCCCCCTTGGTGGTTAAAGAAACCGCGAACCCTTTCTTATTATTCGATCGATCGATCGAACGTGTTTTGTCAGGATTATGATAATTAAAAGATGAATTTTCCTTCGACTCTACTTTCAGCAGGTTTTTAATTATTTTTATTATCGAGTTTTTTTTTGGATGTAGTGTGATGATAGGAATGGAATTTGTTCGAACTCGTCGATGCTAGACGTCCCAAGCTCTCCAAGTTCCATTACCACACCTGGCAGCCCTAGCACACCCGGAAGTCTCTACTCTAACCCTTATTCGTACACGTCTACGAATAGTAGTAATCAGACAACATCGTCGCCAACGAGTCGAGGATCTACGCAGCATATAGGTTCACCGTCATCCCCCATTCATTCTCCTTACTTCGGAAGACCAATTCGTGGATCTCCACCTTACAGGTATTCTTTGAAGAGTTTTTTTTTTTTTATAATTCTGAATCATCTGAACAAGATGATAGGTAATATGTGATTTTTACTTCTTTTTAATATCAGCGACTGTAGTAGTCCAACGTTCGAGTATCCTCACGTGATGGGATTCAATGGATCAAGATCGAACTCACCGGCAGATTCGGAAACCAGTGGTATTAGTAGTATGGATGGTTCTTTATCTGATATAATGGTAAGTTTTTTATCGATCAATGACAAACGATGGGGGAAGAAATGTTGTTTTTTTTTTTAACGAAACTTATAATTTTAGAACTGTTTATCGATGAACTCATCATCGCACGGATGTTACCCTCAGTCTCTGAGTTCGTTGATGTCACCGGAAGTGGATTTATGTGCGACCAATAGAGCAGCCGCGTTTCAACGAATGGCGGTGAAAAAGTACTTATCTTCACCCCATCAGAATTCATCGTCGACGCATCATCATCATTCACACGGACACAATCGCGGTCATCATTACGGATCGAATCAAAACGGCGGTTTCCTCAATTCCCTTCTGTCACACGACAAAAACTGTTGTTCCCCTGGGAATCATATGATGGCACTGAACTCGTCGCCGTTAAATATATTAGATCCGCAGATCTCTCTCGAACGTGTAGCACGTTTTCATCGAAGTGCCGCTGGTATATAACGATTAACTTTAATGATACATAGAAAATGAGGAAGAAATAGCGATGGGTTAAAAGAACAATTGTGTTTCAGCACTTTGTGATCCAACTTGTACTTGGAGTGGTATATTGCCACAACGCACTCAAAAACCATCAGGTTATTCATCTAAGGTATTCCTTGGTGGTGTACCTTGGGATATTACCGAGTCTCTCTTAATTGCTACTTTCAAGCAATTTGGGCAGATACGAGTAGAATGGCCGGGCAAAGATCAGTCCGCCACCCAGCCAAAGGGATATGTATATATAATATTTGAGTCTGAGAAACAGGTACTTAAACATTTTATAATGATTTTTTAATGTAACGTTCATTTTTAATGGTGAAGAATATGATCTGATGTTTAAGGTGAGAACTCTGTTGACATGTTGTACACATGATTTTACAAACGGTGGCAGTTGGTATTACAAAATATCATCTAAACGTATGAAAGCAAAAGAGGTACTTTTTTTTAATTAATTTTATATTTTTTATAAACATTCATGTCTCGTAACTTCACTTTTGTGCATCGATTTTAATATAGGTACAAGTAATACCTTGGGTTCTTGAAGATAGTAATTATGTGAAGTCTTCATCGCAGAAACTTGATCCTCACAAAACAGTGTTTGTCGGCGCTCTCCATGGTATGCTAACCGCTAGTGGTTTAGCGAAAATAATGGATGATCTGTTTCGTGGGGTTATTTATGCAGGTGAACATCGATAAGCTTATTTATCGATATACTTTAATCTTTAGGTAAATGTTATTAAAATTGAAACTTTATTTTAGGCATTGATACTGACAAACATAAGTATCCAATCGGATCTGGTCGCGTTACGTTTAGTACAAAGCATTCATATATGAAAGCAGTTTCAGCTGCTTTCATAGAAATAAAAACTGCCAAATTTACAAAAAAGGTTCGGATTATTTTACAAGGAATCAAAAAGAAATGATATCAAGACGTTAAAAGGAAAATGATAACGAGATCTATTACTTTTTTTTAACAGGTGCAAGTCGATCCATATTTAGAAGATTCTATGTGTTCTGGATGTTCCGTGCAACAAGGACCCTATTTTTGTCGTGAAGTGGTACGATAGGAAATTCTTTTCCTTCTATAGATATAAGATCATTATTTTTATTCTTTTCTAGATGTGTTTCCGGTACTTCTGTCGCAGTTGCTGGCAATGGCAGCACTCGATGGAATCAATGTGGCACCACAAGCCTTTAATGCGTAACTCGAAGACAAATCAAGTGGTCGGATTATCACCAAACGTAAATTCTGGATCTCGTGGAATGAATAATCCCACAATTTAAGTACAGTTACTGAGCTTCTCTTTCACGATCACACGTTCACTTATTTTTGACTATTTGTTCTCGCACGGACGTCGCGCTAGCTGACTTACTGACAGGGTGCAAACTTAGTTTTTATCGCAGAGCTGCGGGCAGCTGGTTTGACGATATACATAGAAATACCGGATATACCAGCTGATCGGCAAATGCAACGATTTGTTTATTATCGTTATCACGTACGTCCGCGGTATACAGACTAATTAATGAATAAAAATCGTGTTTCAGATAAAGTTCCTATTTCGAACGCGGCCACCACCACGTTTAATAAAACAGTACTTTTATTTAGTATGTTTACTTAGGGACTGGTTCTCTTGTTGATCGTTTTATTGCGAAGAATATAATTGTGCCATTAAGTAACACATCACATTATACGGTAATTATGCGTTACAAGTGTGCATTTACATTGAATTCGTGTGGGTTCAATTGTGGCTTTTATAGTGACAATAATTTTTATGCGATAAAAATGAGAAGCCACTCGACTGTTAAGAAGGGAGAGTGAGAGAAAGAGAAGGGCTAAGTTCATAATGTTCAAAAATCCATAAAAAATACAACGCGCCGCTATAATAATCTATCGGTGAAATATTACGCTTAATCGTAAACTATTCGATGAGATTAGATTATTGTAGTGTTCTAGCGGCAGGAGGGATTAATAATTTAATTATTATTTTTTGCGAAGAACGCGTTTCATTTAAGTACTAGCTAGAACCCAGGCTGTATTCCGACGTTTGTCGATGATATTGCCCGTCGTTGTAGTTTTACGTTAGATTGTACAGTGTAAGAGTATTGCCGAAACGGCCACTGTAATCGTAATTTATATTCTTAGTCAAAGCGGTAAGCCTTTACAAGCTTTCGTTCACAGGGACTGTTTAACTGTTGACGAAATGGAAAAGTACATGGTCTACGATTCTGGAGCGGATTGTAGTGAATTGATTCTGTTTTTATTTTTTGTTACGATATTATGTTACGCATTTTCTTTCAACAAGATTTCGTGGTATTACTTCCAATCGCGTTTCTGATGTTTTGATATCATTTTGTTGAGTGAATTAAAAATCATATTTTTGCAGATAGACTTCCATTGTCGTTCCTCCTTTTATGTTTCATCATTCTGTTCTTTTTTTTTTTATTTGTCGTTCAAGAAAACGATTCTTCCAAATGAACCTTCTGCCCTTTCCAAACTCCTGGCCTTAAAAATGTGTGCTTATGCAAAGTGCTAATTACTAAATGTTATTAAATCATGGAAATTTGATAGGTACTATTAACAAAACACCATTAGATACAGATTAATTGATAGCTGAGGTTATACTAATTTTGATCATGTTTACTTATATTTAATTTTTTTTTTTAAGGTTTTCGTTTGTTTCCAAACTAATCTAAATTGTGGTATTTCATTTAAATTAAAAATCATGTAATTACTCTTACTACAAATCACTAAAAATATGTCCTCATTATTAAGAGAGTAAAAGAAATAACGTACTGAACAATACGTTTAAACGAAACAGAATTCTAACGAAGGACTATCGATAAAGGTAGAATTAAAATTTGGAATTCCAGATTCGAAATCAAAATCTTAAATCTAAAATCACACTAAGAGGACAAGCCGTTACAATTATTAATTTTTAGAAAATTATATTCGAAGCAAACACGATATATAACAGCTCCATCCACACATTCCACAATTAATGTTTTTTAATACAGTGATTTATGACATGATTTATCACATGCTTTGTTACAGATAATTATAAATCATATGTTATTAATGGTGAATGTTCCAAAGAAAAGGTATAAAATTAAGATTTGTAATTGAAAATGCATATAATCAACTGCAGGTTATACTGCTATACTATTGGATTACTTAACAGTATTAATGGAAGGGAAGAATTTATCATATTTCTAAGTCATTAAAATTTCGCTTGATTTAAGAAAGTGGAACAAATACAAAAAAATATATCGCGTTATAACATCAAATGCAATTATCAAATAACATGGTTACTATATACATAAGAAGTTACTATATACATGAATACTCATATGAAGTGCTTTAATACAACATACAAAATAATATATATATTCTACAAAAGCTTCGAATGTAATCATAAAGTTTTTAGTCAACAAAAAATCGGTTTTTGCTATGCCTGAGAATGGTTCTAAACAGATGAACGACAAAAACTCTTAGACTAAAAATTAACGAATTAACGGCGAAAAGATAATGAGCCGTCGGAAATTTTAAAGATGCTCTTTTATCGGAAATATTATCTTATTTACAAACTTTTAATAAGTCGTGCCTTTTAATGTAATCTCCATAGATTTTATTCTAACGTGGAAAACACAAATTATTTTTAAATCATTGATAACCACGCGATACAGGGTGATCTACTATTAAAGAAACAAGACTGCTACTGGTACGCATAATGTCAAGCTTTCTTAAAACTTTTAAGAGATTTAACCACTCGCGAGGCAATGATTTCATCGTGCCCTAGGTAGCAAAATATTTTTTTTATGTTCATACAGAAAGTGCCTCCTATTCTTTCACTTTTATTGATAATACTACCTACGTCTATAATTTACAAATAACAACACTCGAGAAATATGTAAAAACAATTCGAACATTAGTAAACATATATAAGTACACTACTTAGCTTAAAATCAAGTAAGCTTTATCTGGATATCAATAATTTATATTGCTTTAGCTTTTTTCCTATTACATATATCCTTGTTAAAACATACCTTGTAACACAAGATTGATATATTAGAAACAATAAATTGTTCTTTATTATGTTAACAACATTGTACTGCTTTGTAATGTATAAAATTACACTTTACATTACATAAAGGAATTAAATGGTTAAGATTTATTTTCTTCCAATTTTTATAGTTTATTTTACAATTATTACACAACACATTTTACATAAATTCAAAAAGCATACTAATCAGTGTAAAAGAATACATTTACAATTTTTATTACAATAATTTCTGCTATTCTTTTATTAAAATTTTTACATTAAGTTTTCAATACCTTTTGTGTTCTGCTCGTTTGCTTAGGGCTTGATACAAACCAATTAAGGAAGACAAAGTTCCAAGTGCCCCAACATGCCAAACTTTTAATCTACCACCCCAAAATGTTCCAAGTGGCAGATAACTAACTGCATAACTTATATCTAATACTAATCTTGTGCAGGTCAATAATTCATTCCACCTTTGTTTGCTCACTGTCTTCAAAGCTGCTCTGTTCAAACAGAAACAGACATTGGTGTCATCAAATTTTAATGAAGTTAGTGTAAATATTTTTGTATTGTGTCTTTAAACTTACTTTGTATCACAATTAGTTAAAACCATTGTGTGAAAGTAAAATATTTCATCATTTCCTATGTAACATACTTGAATAATGACAAGTGTAGAGAAATTATCCAAAACCATGTTGAAACATTATCCCACTTTTCAGTATTAATTTTAATCAATTTATGTTCACCAGCCCAATAAATGTGTTCTATAGGACCAAACATAGTATCCATAGCAATTTGCATTAATTCTGCCCATCTGATCAACCAATCTGGCTCCTATTAGATGACATATGAAATTTATATGCCTGTAGAAAAATAGTACAGAACTGTACATTACATTAATACATAGAAAATCAAATATTCATGTAAAATCTTTTGTCTTGCATTGTCAAGAATAATTCCAGTTACATATTATTATATACATATATGTATATATACCTGTTTTCCCCATCCATATGACATAGCATAATGAATCATAGGTATGTCATCTAATAATCTTAAGATCATTCTGCATCCACTCAACTGACTGCTAAATATTTTGAATTTTTTCTCTATTTCTTTCGAAGATGTACCCAGAGTAGCAAATTTTGCCATATAAGATAATGTTCTCAAACATTTATCTCTCCCTGGATATGTTTCTAAATACTCTGATAGTAATGTGATATTCATTTTGATTTAAAAATATTTACAACTGTATCTTAATATAAGCACAGCTTTTTTGATACACTGTAACAATAAAATATTTAAAAGATTTAATTATATAATATTGAGGAATTAATTGACAATAACTGTAACAAGTCAATAGCAATAATTTTCTATGAATTTGTGTATTAAGTAATTCAAAAAGTAATGAATACTTGTTGAAATTTCCATCCAATGTAGTTAATTATTTGTAAGATTGCAAGTAAACTAATTGGTGCAATTATATAGATGTCTACTGTTCTACTTATTAAAAGTTAAGGTATAATAAGTAACATATGTGACAATCAAGTACACAAAGTAAAATAAATAGTAGAAATAATTTATCTGTTAATATGTTCAGTATAAAAAGACGCGAATTATTTACCCAGTTTTACATTTCAGGATGTTCCTTAAAAATTTTAATTTTTAAAATTTGACATGTAAGCAAATTTAAAGATCAAGATGAATCTTCTTTTTCATAATACAACAATGCGCTCTTGTGGTTGTATCACGAAAATTAAAGCCAGAGCAGTCGATAAGAAGGAACTATTATATTATCTATCGCGTAATAGTTGAAATATATTGGAAATGTTAAAAATTAGCATCCAGAATTATTGTATATATGTATTATAATTATTTGAAAAATGAAATATAATTTTTTTTATTCCTAAAAGATCAATTTTACAAATAATAGAATTACTGGTATCAAATATGTACTTGAAGTTTGACCAATTTTAATATATAATACTTCGTTAATTATTGGTGCAAACATAATTTAAAACAATGCATATTAATGACAGAAGATAATTATGTTAATAATTAACATAATTAGTAGCATAATTGACATATTGAAGAGATTTTATTTGACTGTTTAATTGTTATACATCGATCAATGTTTTTTCAATTGGTAGATAATTTCGTGTCTATAGCTTTAATCGAAGGAATGTTCTACTTGAGATTTCCCTTCTACGTATGTTGTAAGTCCGCGTCGAAAAGTATGGTGGGGGAACCGTCTTTTCAAAGCGTCGTATTCGTTCACTGTTGTATGTCGCTTTAGAGCAACGTGATCAGTGGTTCGTAGACGTGATGACGTCAGACTTCGAGGCACAAGCCGAGAGCGCGTTTAAAGCCGAGTAGGGCGTGAAAGTGTGTGTCGTGCCGCTCGTTTTCCTCCTAGTTCTTTTAATCTATCCCATCCTCGAATATGTGCAAATAGCAGCGTGTGCCGCCGCAAAGCCACGGGACAATTATGTTCGGTGCTGTTTTAACGTGATTGATAGTGAAAAGGATACCATGTTCCGCTGCATTCCGATTTTTAAAGGGTGTAACAGGCAGGTGGAATACGTTGACAAGCGTCATTGCTCTCTGCCGAGCGTCCCCGATGATATTTTACGATACTCGAGAAGCTTGGAGGAGCTTCTGCTGGACGCGAATCACATCCGTGATTTACCGAAGGTAGGCAAATACCGCTACATGCCAACTTTCTGTCTTACAACCGTATCTCTTTTTCTTTCTTTACCTCTCCCCTCTCTTATTCGTCTCTTTCTCTCTCACTCTCTCTTCCTCTTTCTAATGTGTCCATGACGTATCATTCCATCGGCTATACTGTAACGACGAAGAACGCATACGACATAGTTGATAGGGTAGCTGTTATTGTCATCGTTATTTTTTCCCCTAAAACATGATCACTTCATTCTTGTTTCTCTTGTTTCAGAATTTTTTCCGGCTGCAGAGGCTACGAAAGCTCGGCTTGAGTGACAATGAAATTCATCGCTTGCCACCGGATATCCAGAACTTCGAAAACCTCGTGGAGCTGGACGTATCCAGGAACGGTGAGGGGTCTTTTTTTTTTTATTATTCAGTTTAGCCATTTCGCGGTTTTGCGGCCGGCGATCACGAACAGCAAAGACCCGGTCCGCTTTCGTTTCGACGTTTCACTAGACGAGAACATTTTCTGGACCCTTTTTCTCCTCGTTCTTTTGCTTTTTTTTTCCTTGACCACGATCGACCATCGGGCAACGCCTGTCGACGGCTTTGAACGAAGCACGTGTATGTTTCGGACGATTGTCAATGAGAAAGCCGAACGCAATAACGCGCGTACAAAGCCGTCGAATAAAGAAAAGTAGAGTTAAGCGAGGCGAACCATTAACGGAACCTCAACTCGGACGTTCGAGTTGGATAAACTGTAGAACAACCGTGCTAGTGTCAAGTATTAATAAAATATACACCTTGTGGACAAGTTACCGTTATCATGGAGTGCTTTTTTACTTATTACCAGTCATAGTAACCGGTATATCAACCCTAATGATCTAACAGGTTGACATTCCATCGTCATGGTGGACCTTTTTTTGTAAGCTATTTTCAAATGTCTTCGAAACGCTTGATTAATATGTTGTCATAAAACAATCTTCAGAAAATTAACTAGAGTTTGTGTTATCGCAACATCTTTACTTCGTTAGAAAAAATTCCATAATTTTGTTAATATCCAATGATAAAAGGCACAAGTAGGATGCAATATCATTTCCTCAATCGATATATAAACCAATCGATCATAGTCTCGATATCTCGATCAGTTCATATTGACTCGACTATCGATCCAGCGATCCTCGGATTCTACGATCGATTCATCGAAGATCAAAACACACACCTACAGTAAACGGCGCCTCGTTTACTTTCTAACGACGATGCAGCGGCTCGTGGCTCGAAAGGCACGTCGAATCGTACGTTCTTTTACGCCCGCCTCAGAGTTGTTTCCCAAGAGAGAAGCCTTTCCTTTCTCGCTGTTCGCGCTGGATTTACTTACCGTTCCACTTCGGCGTTTTTATGTTTACCTTATGCTCGTCCCTCGCGCCACCCGCGTGCATATACACACAGTGAACGATTCGTTACTTCGCATGCAGCAAACAGCTAAGGAGAAGGAATGCACCGTAGAGTCTCGCGGATGCCTCGTTTTGCCATCGGACCTAACCTCCCCCTCTCAACGTCTCACGGCCCTTCTCCTCTTCTATACCCCTGGAATGCTCGTTGCCGCTAAATACTCGGCAACATTCGTAACTAATCTTAGGTGTGCTTCACTCGACGTTTTTTTCTCGAAATCTGAACGACGATCTTGTTAACGTTTCATGATTCTTCTCCCTTTTTTTTCGCAATCATTTCAGTGTAAGAAAATACTGTTGAAGGAGTGTACAGTGCTTGTAGGAAATGCCGCATTAAAACGTCAAATAATTTTTATTGGAAGTTTGATACGAAGTGTTTGGTATTGGATGACGCGTCGTATACTTGGAAACGATGCATGCGAGGTATGTCACATGAGCTTTTTTTTCCTTTTTTATAATTCGTTCCTTTACGTCCTCTGCGCAACACGTTCGCGCGTTGGCGCCATTTTGAAACCTTCGAAACGACTACGTAAAACAAATCACACCACTGTTAAAAAAAGATGCACATTTCGCTGGTGCACTTAAAAAAGGAGTATCACGGGAAAACTTGTTTCCTTAGATCACTTCTTCTCCCTTCATCTTTGCATGATATGTTCACATGTATGAAATATACATGTAAATTGTCAACTCATGTAAATCCACCATTATCCACTATTCACAATAAACAATATTTTCATTCTAACGAATTCCATTCTACAACACTGTTAGATACGATGAATTTCCTCTTCGAATTAAACAATAATATTAACAACATCAAATTTAAAAATTAAATACGTAACGAAAATAACTACATTAATATTTATAACGCTATTAAAGCGTAATACGTTGCATTGGGCGCAAATTCGAAATTACACGAGGAACAAGTGGCAGATAGATAGTAAGGTGGAATTTTCTCCGACGATATCGCGAAAAGTGCGACGGGAATACACGCTATAAATAATTCCCCCGCGTAATTACTACTTCCTGATGCGCTGCCGCTCTCGTTATCAATAAACGCGCCGCTCGTACATTCTTTCGTGGACACGCGCGCGTGACACATGTCCAACCGAGTAATTAGGTTCGAACTATGTCTGCGGACGCATGCACGTTTACCTGTCGCGTGAAATGAAATTTTTCATTCAACAGGCCGGAACGCATCTCGTCGGCGGCCATTGCTGTCGTTCTTCATTCGCGATTCCGCTTTCGAATGCATTTTCTGATTGTCGCTGTTCGATTTACCTTTCAACCTCTCCCCGGTGAAACCCAAACCCATACATTTTTATCTCTTCAAATTAAATATTGAAAATTCCATTTATACAGATCAGATGTTAATTTAATTTACTTCTTATTCTTAGTCTCTAGCTGTTTATAAAAAAAAAAAAACTATTTTGCATCGTTGAAACCTCTGATTTTTCAATAACATTGGACACTTAAAAAAAAAAAAGAGATTCGTTTAAGACGATTTAATTTACTTACGTGAAAATTAGCGTAGAATAACTCGATGGGTGTTAATTGAATAGTATTTCAGGTAAAAGCAAAAACGTCGGTGTAAATGTATTCCTTAAACGATACATTGTTAGCCAATTCCCTCGTAGAACTTTCACTAATGAATTTCATTGCTGAAATCGCTTATGTAATTAATTAAAAGTGTTGGTCGTTAGGCGATTTTAATTCACCTAAACGAAATTGCCCGGATAATTGCTTAAACTTTAGTCGCAATTTACTCAGCTCGCTTTCTTAGCTATCCCGATTAATTTCATTTGCACGCTCGTTCGTTTTCTACGATTAACTAGTCCATCATTAACTAGAACCCTCCACCATACATACACACACAATCTCTCTCTCTAAAATTCATTTCGTCGAAATGGTGAATGCTTCTCGTTCATTTAATCGCCTTGAATGATATAATAAAGAGTTGACGCGAAACACGGTGGGAATGTTTAACGGCCCAGATCGAGTCAACAGCCTCCATTTTCAGCCGAAACGGTCGAATAATGAACGAAAAAAAAAAAAAAAAAATAAATAAAAAGGAGAAAAAAAGAGAGAGAGAGAAAAAAATTTCGAACAATGCCG